AAGAAGAAGAAGAAGAAGAAGAAGAAGAAGAAGAAGAAGAAGAAGAAGAAGAAGAAGAAGAAGAAGAAAAATCTATTGAATTTGGCTTAATTTAGGTATTTTTACCTGAGCATACCGATTCCATCTCCATCCAGATCCGTAAACTTCAGCACCAACACCTGTTTGTCTGTGTTCCTATCATACCTGAAGAGATCAGCACCAAAACTGATCAATAATCAATAACATAAGCGCTGACCAATACTGTCAATATTTATTGGTCTTTACTGAAGTCATGTTTGGATCAGAAACCTGGCCGAGGCAATACCTCTGGTGTTGCTGCAGTTTTTAATTTAAACTCATTTTAAAACAGAAGCTTAAAATTACAGCAAATATTTTGACACAATTATATCTATAATATATGTTACTTTATACACAAATAAATTAATTGTCAGAAATATACAAATGGGCAACTGTGAACAAATTAAATAAAATTTGAGGCGTATTATTTCATTGTCTTTGTGGTTTGTTCATATAATCAAACATTATTATAATAAGATCAAATCACAGTGATAAATATTTAAAAGAAAAAAAATTGAATCATAAATATCAGATAATAAAAATGTTAAATTAAAGTTGAAAGAAACAAAAATCAGAACATCTGATGAAATGTTCACAGAAAATTTCTGACAGGTTTTGTTACGCAAGGAGTCTTAACTAAAAAAATACATTTAATTGCAAACATCTACATGTGATTTATTAAAAGCTAAACATTGTTGGAATGAGGTTACCTGTTCCTCTCCTCCTCAGGGTTGTTCAGGTAGGAGTGAGGACTTCTGTTCAGGCTGCTGTCGTCCAGCACACCTTTGTTCCTGTAAATCCTGCCAGGCTTCATGTTACTGTGGGCTATGTCTATACTCTGGAAACAAGATGGAGTCATTTGTAAAACACTTATAAATTAAAGAATGTAATATGTAATCTGACTGGACACTAAAACTAAAAGGTCATTATCATCACACAAATAACTACATCTAAAAATGACTGAATATAAAAAACACTTAACATATTTATCATGTATTTAATGTAAAAAATATTGTATGAAATGTTTTTAAATGTAATGTAATTATGAGGACAGTCACTAAAGGTAATCACTAAAAATTACTGATGTTTTACTAAAAATAGCTCTATATAAATA